ATAATTCGTGGAAATCAACACAAAATCATCAATTTAATTTCAACAATTTAATCAATATATTCCCCCGTGAGGATATTCACCTTTTATACAACATAACTACATAAATTGTTGCGAGTTACATTGATCATCGGTTAAACCGACGTCACGAACGTGTTCTCCATATCACTACACCAATGGGAATTATGTGAGAATTATAATCTGATATCTTTCTATTTTGTTTGGTTAGGTTATATAGTGGCAGTGCAGAGCAGATGGAAATATTTTGAAAATAACTGTTAAATTTGAGTCTGATGTCCAGTGCGGCTTAAAGTTCTCAGCTAACACCGGAAGCCAAAAATAAGTATTTTCAATTAAGATAACATTTTATCCTACTTTTTCCCAGGAAGTTTGAAATAAATACCACGTAAGCGAAATTTATCGCTTGAAATGGTAATTTCCAATCCCTGGTCTGAGGTAATTAAAAGTAAATCTTGTGTTTGATCCTGATAACAGTAATGACATGTTTTACAGTTAAAAGAACAGGAACATTCAATTTAGGCAACTTTAACGGAATCCCGTGTTTTAGGGTTGATTTTTTTAATGGGGTGAAACAATTCTTTTGAAAGCTTTCGAAAGTATTTCATTAATAAGATGATATAAATCCTCCATAGGAATAACCAAATATTATTTTGCATCCATCTAAAACGTGTGTTCGTGTGAAAGTACCTCTAGCGTTTTATCGGGTTTGTGTCAACAAGATGCTATCTTACGCATTCAACGAATTAATGTTAAAGAGTGATCTCCCTTATACATGTAATTGATTGCATCAGCATTATCATGCTTTACCAGTCACCCATCGTTGACAATTCCGTGGTTATTATTGCTTTTCATCAGTATGGTCGATTTTTCCAGTTGCAACATTTCCAGATCTGGCCACAACACTAACGGGATTTATAAAAGGACGTGTAAATTGGAGAGGTTACTAATCAGTCATCCCTGTCGAACGTAGACACAGTAATCGGAAGGCCAGGAGTAAGACTTTCAAAATCTCGTATTTATCACTAAAGATTGATATTTCTATAAATAAATAGAGCGTATAACGAGACAAGGTTCCAGTAATTTACGTAAAGATTTATGAGTATGTGTCTGTAGAACACGCTAAAGTAATGACATAAGTGATATGTCCTGATGTGTTTGTCTGGTAGTGGTACAGTCTTCGTCAACCTGATATAGTATGTCTGTGGTACTGAGTTCGTCAACCTGATATAGTATGTCTGTGGTACTGAGTTCGTCAACCTTGTATAGTATGTCTGTGGAATTGGCTTCGTCAACCTTATATAGTATGTCTGTGGTACTGGCTTCGTCAACCTCGTATAGTATGTCTGTGGAATTGGCTTCGTCAACCTTATATAGTATGTCTGTGGTACTGGCTTCGTCAACCTTGTATTGTATGTCTGTGGTACTGGCTTCGTCAACCTTGTATTGTATGTCTGTGGTACTGGCGTCGTCAACCTTATATAGTATGTCTGTGGTACTGGCGTCGTCAACCTTATATAGTATGTCTGTGGTACTGGCGTCGTCAACCTTATATAGTATGTCTGTGGTACTGGCGTCGTCAACCTTATATAGTATGTCTGTGGTACTGGCGTCGTCAACCTTATATAGTATGTCTGTGGTACTGGCGTCGTCAACCTTATATAGTATGTCTGTGGTACTGGCTTCGTCAACCTTGTATTGTATGTCTGTGGTACTGGCTTCGTCAACCTTGTATTGTATGTCTGTGGTACTGGCGTCGTCAACCTTATATAGCATGTCTGTGGTACTGGCGTCGTCAACCTTATATAGTATGTCTGTGGTACTGGCTTCGTCAACCTTGTATTGTATGTCTGTGGTACTGAGTTCGTCAACCTTGTATTGTATGTCTGTGGTACTGGCTTCGTCAACCTTGTATAGTATGTCTGTGGTACTGGCTTCGTCAACCTTGTATAGTATGTCTGTGGTACTGGCTTCGTCAACCTTATATAGTATGTCTTATAGCATGTCTGTTTAACTGATAAGCGCTTCTCGAAATTCTTGTGCATGAAAACTCGCTCTGTTTGGTTTATGAGGTGCAAGTATCGTATACAAAACAGTAATTAGATAAAGGTAGATTGTTACTGTTTTACAGCGCAGATGTTACACATCCTGTCGTGCGCATCACTGACACTGAAATACATTGTATATTAGTTTGTACAATATGCCCTAGTTACAACTGTACCATTTTTCATTTCTCTTTTACAGACAGCTTTTTGTCTTTTTTTCAGAAGGTAGATAAAACCCCACCGGATCGTAATTTTCCTTCGTTCATTTGATACATTTATTATTGCCAGAAAGTCCAGATTTAGTTCCTATGCAGCAATTTTGACTATCATTAGACATGGTAATTTCCAATCACTGATCTGAGGTAATTCAGTATACAGGTGTAGTTCGTTTACTTTGATCCTTATCGTAGTAATGGCGTGTTTTACAGTCAATCGAACAGGAGAATAAAATTAAAGCAATTGAAACGGAATCATGCGTAGTTTAGGGATGATGTGTTTTTATCGAAAACGTGTGAAAAGGTTTCTTCAGGATGGTTGTGAAAAATTTCATTAATTGGTTCAAAACACAAATCGATAATAAAGAGTAATCAACAACAACTACTTTTGCTCTTACAAAAAAACAGAGGGATCGCCTTAATTGATTGATGATGTAAAACTTGGCACACTGAGTGGATACCGAAGAGGCGCGTTCGCGTATCAACCTGAAATAGTACATAATGTAGTGTAATGCATGTGTCGAGTGCACATTTGGACACACACAATACATATTTAGATAAAACTAAACTGCATGACGGACGAAGGCAACTTTTGACTCTTGCTCCTGGAACATAATCGAATGTTTTTAATATTCATTCGCTTAAGAACTGATGGAACCGAAACAGGTGATATTTTAAATTCAGATGCAATTATTTTGTTTCGTCTAAATGATGGTATCTGTAATTATCTAATTCAAAGCACATGTTTATGACCCTGTAGGCTTACTGTCAGTTTTAAGTGCGCGTTCTGTGTTTACGGATTGTTACATTTATGAATAATAGATTCACAAAACGATGATCGTACGACTTTCTAGTAGAGAGGCACTATAAATATCTCTGTAAGTTAATCACTGAAACATTGGTACCTAGGTTTAATACAGAGATCATATAGTAGATACATTTTTCCACATAACCAGGAATTGATAATTGGATGTATTTGAACAAGAAGCAGTCTAGACTATTGTTTCCAGTCTTTACTTAACTGGTTGTATGTCGTCTTTTCGTATTGCAGAGTTATCTGCTCTTGTGAGTCGGTATTGATTGTTACGTCATTTCTTTGTGAGAGTAACGTCATACATTTTTTAGAAAACGACGTAATTTTCTCTCACAAACTATTGACGTAACAATCAATACCTGCTCACAAGAGCAGATAACTCTGCAATACGAATAGACGGAATAGCCTCAGGCCACAGATACTGTATTGTTATCAAATTATATAGATTATCTCTCCTTGAAAAGGACATGGCGCAAACCTTTATACCGAAAAGAAGCAGGTTTTTTTCTTCATTAATTAAAGTGAATGGTTGGTTGTGTATAATTTCCATTAGCGAAAGGTCACGTAATGCTGTTCGCCCCTGAGCATTAATTTCATGATCGTAGTTTAATGAGTAATGTTGATGTCATTGAAATTATCTATCAAAAATTCAGGTCATGAGACATTTTCAAACTGACTATAAAGCCTTCCTAGACAATTGAGCAAAGGTATTAAGTTTAGGGCCCGTGTCTATGAAACCATTTTCATACACAAACATGGATTTGGCGCTCAAACAAACTTTCTTGTACACTCGCAAAAATCATATAGGGCAAACAAGTGCAGTGGAAATATTGAAATGGTGTACGGCTGTAAGCCCCTAATAAAGATCTTCCTAAGATGAAAAAAATACAGCATTTTTTTGGAACATTAATATAAAGGTTGAAACGAGTCTTTTTATGATGATATGTATCACAGTTCTTTTTAAACGTAGTTTCAATGATATATGCATCATGGACTATATTTGAACGGAAATATGTTTCGTGCCTTAATTTCAATTCTTATATATATAACGGGGAGGAGAAAATATTTTCCCCAAAGGTTGTTGTACATACACAAGTAAATCAGTAAAAATCATACACGCGCATGTGTTATTTCAGCATTAAAATGTTTTCAGTTGGCAATCATAGGCAATGAATGCCTACAAGATAAAGGCGGAATCAATGTACTATGTAACGCACTAGCGCTTTAATGACCTTGTCTCTGTTTAGTTAGCATTCATTGTTGAATTTGCCTTTACCCTGTTGGCATTCACATTGCTTATGACACACGCTATAACGAACGCAAAATAGTTACATTTACTATCTGTGGAATAAATTGTTCGAAATTCAGCACTTATTTCAAATAATGCATTCACAATGTGTCGTATGTGCTTGCCCAATGAATCAGGGAGGGTGAGTGGTATCCAGCGTAACCATTACAACGTCATGGTTATGACATCAACAATCGGATCATGACATTTACAGCTGATATGACTGTGTTTCAGTTTGTAGTTTTATTTTGCGTTATACATTAACGTTTGGTTACTGATGTAGAATAAATAGCAACAGAGCTATTTGACTAACCCGTGCATATTTAAATTGATTAATGCGTATTTTACTAGACGAATGGCTATTTTAATTGATCAATGTATGTTTAATAGACCAATATGTATTTTAATTGACCATTTATATTTTGATTGTCCTTTATATATTCGACAATTTCCTTGTTTCTAGTTGGTGTCTAAAACATCTAGTTACGAAATTATAGTACAAACATTCTGGTCATTCAAATTTACGAAATTAAACAAGATTGAAGTTATATGTAAAGCTTGCTGAAATGAAAAAATGTTTCTCATTAAATATGGTACATGTAAACAGCACAGTGTATACTTACCTGTTTGAACTATAACTTATATGTCCGTGGCGTAGCAGCACTTCTCACACAGACTGTCCATTCAGATCAACATAACTTCCATTATTTGACCAACCGAGGCAAGTTGCATAGAGGTAGGGGACTGGCAAACAAGCTGACCGTTCCGTGGGTTGACCCGCGTACGTCATGACTTCCCAACGTCAGTCCAACACTGAGCGCTGTGTAACCGTTAAGCCTCTGAAACCGTCAGACTCGTTCATAAAGCCAAGTATCGATCATTCTTCTGTGTTAAAATTTCCCATGTTAGAGCACCAAGCAATTGTATCAGGTTGTGTCTGCTTAACGACATCTTGGATAACAAACACTCAATTTTCCGTTGATTTGGAAAATATATAAGTAGTTGTATATTCTATCTAACTGAAGAAATAATTTTTAAAGGTAAGATATTTATCTTTTGTTTCAGCTTTCAATACCAAAAAACGTTTAACTTATCTATGTATGTAAGCTGAGAATGCTACATTAAGATGGCTGGGGAAGTCAGGTGCTTAAAGCATTGTTACCTTATGAAGTCCTGTATGTAAGTTTCAAAATTGTTTTGTTTTAATTTTAAAAATTTAAAAATATTCATAATTTTTACTACTTGAATTAATCATGCTACTTCATACATATCCATTCCTTCATTTTAGCAGATATGGCAATTGAGTTGCAATAGCGTTAAGCGATGCTGGGTTCAAATCGAAAACCAATACTTTGGTTTGTTTGAATGTTACGTTAGTGGTACACTACATTGGAGTGTTATCTTAATTTTGTTATTGACTATAAGCAGATTGATTCACTCATTCCGCATTTAACGCAGTTAAACTTTTCAGTTCTTAACATTTGCTCTTCTATAAATAGAGTAATATGTGATTTGTTGAAGGCAATATGTGATAAGTGTGGTTTTCGAGATTTTTTTTCTGTTATCTTTACTTTACAATTTAACCATAGTCACCAAGGTTGGGCAGTGTTGGAACCTGAGCGGACGTCGCTGGTAGGGCTCTTCCCTACCTTTGGAAAGCTCAGGACCTTTATCAACATTGTCTTGTTTAAATTTATTTTTATACTACATATATGTAATATATGTGCCAAAATTATTATTCTGAAAATGTTATTTCAGGAATCACACTACCTATCTTTTATGCGTTTCTGTTTTAACAATGTCATATATTTGCATGCTTGTTATGTTTTATATGTATGCTAGATACACCCATATACAGAATATGTACAGAATTGTATTTCACGGGGTCAAGGTTAAAATATTTCGTTTTAGATTACAAATGACGTAATAAATACTCACCAAATATCAGTCAAAACTGTGTTTTCCTTTTAACATGTTAATTGCTAGTCGCAGACTCAGGGATAAGGTACATTAGCTATGTTTTCAACGCCAACGGAGAGGGATAGGGATATTATTTACAGAAGATGCTCGAACATAGCGATTCTCGATAGCAACATAGAGCGTCTTACCGGAATACCTGTATCACCGTATGCATAAATGTAATCGAAATGAGAAAGAAACGTGCTCATTTACATGTAGCCAGTGTGATCTTAAAGGCGTACATCCATCCAACCAAACAAAACGTTCATCTACCTCTCTGAAAACGTAAACTGATTTATCAGTTTACCGTTTTGTATGTAGAATGCAGTTAAATGTACCAAAGTCGACCATTTATTTTATTTTCTGATTTCCGTAGACTATCAATAAATCCTAAGCGTTGCTGGAAAGGTACACATATATCCAGTTGTAGTCTATGGTCAAAATACATCATTCGATAGACAGGAAAAAACAAAGCATGTGGACTGCAGCACATGGCGCTGTCACTTTCTGACTGAAAGGTTCCAAGTAAACGTTTCACTTAGTCGATAGTTTGAGGAATATCAACACCGCAAGCCAAACAAACTTCCTTTCGAGAAAGTACAATAGATATAAACGAATTTTCCATCATTGAAATACTATTACTTATTTTATTCTGACTTATAGTCCTCATGACATTTTAGACTCGCTTTTTAATTGAAGATAAAATTGTGCCAAAAACGTTAGTTCAAGGTTAAACAAGTTGGCAGTATATAATATTTCGCTAGCATTATTGGTCTTAAATGATTCGGAACTATTCCCACAGGCCATTCGATATTGAAAGGTTGTAATATGCATGTCTGTTATACAACACCATATACATAGATATATTTATATGTTTACACTGATTTGGTTTCGTCAACAGAAAATCAAAAGGAAACATCTAATTTTGCCGATCACTTTGGTATATTAGAAGTGTGAAATATGACTATCTTACTATATTTTCAAAAGCATATGTGTCTGCGGAATTGATGTGCGTGAGTATTTGCTCTTTATTTGTAGCCATAAGCAAGTCTTAGCTCTTTAATACCTTGAGCCTTGAGACTTATTGGTTCAGAATACAGCATTATATACAAGTATATATACAAAAACATAATTTACATGAATAACTCCTATCCCACACTACGCCAGTATAAACAGCCCCACAACGCATTTTCTAAAGCTTTTCATGTATCTTTATTTCTTTGCAATAGCAATAAAAGTAATTTTCCATTTCACATTTTGTTGTGTGCAGACTTTACAGTAAACCCACTTTTTGTTCTTATATAGTATGTTCTCACGAGAGAATTTACACAACGTCTCAAAATACGGACACTTAACGATCCCCACATAATTACCAAAACGTAACTTGGCATCTGAAACTTTTTTCCCGCTATGAAAATAGTTTGATAAATCACTTCTACAAAGAAAATCATACTTTGTGATTTTTTGACGGAAGGTAATGTAAATTAACCTGTTCTCAATGTAAGTGTGCAACGGAGCAAGACCAGGATTCGAACCTTGGACCATTGACTTTATTCTGTCGCTCTATCCGACTGAGCTACCTGGTAAACGAAAGTACATTGACCCAAACGAGATACAGTTCTATCCGAAACGGAATTAAAGGGCGGTTACTTTATGTACACGTACCTAAAACTACATTGGAAGACCCTAGTACTTTGTCTGTAGAGGGACACGAACCCTCAACATCTTCAACATCTTGTATGCTACAAAATATACAAAGTTGATTTCTACTATCAGTATTATGATATGCATCCGTTTCTATATTTCACTTATGTGAGGATATTCTAAATCTAGGTATGCCGTTCTGGAACTGATTGTCAACTGCTTTCTTTCAATAACTTTGTAATCAGATTCCAATGCAAATCCCCCTGTATGTTATTTATATACGGAGAATTGTAAGCTCAGATAATAGTTTATAGACTTGGCATGGTCCTAATAACAAACAAGGTCGTTTAGACTGTTTCTCAAGTTCATCTGTTTTATTGCCATCGATTATGTACAAGCAGCAGATCACTCCCATATATATTGAGATTAGGGAGTGATCTGATAAATTAATTTGGGTTTTATTAACCAAAAACAGAAGAAAAAAAATTGAATTTAGCAAGTTTATTGAATTATTATGAATATGTCAATATTTGTAAGAGAGTATTTCAGAAGTTTTTCATATTACTGACAGTGGGCGAAGATTTAGAAATACTACATGTTGGAGGTACTCGAATTAATCATCAGATTGAAAACACTATCTTTCTCAAACTTTAAATAATACAAACAAATAACATATTAAATGAATTAGAGTAAGAATGAGAAGACCCATAAAAAACCGGATTCATTGTTAAATTGATTTCAAGTTACAAGAGAATATTTACAGTCTAAACAAATATCCGATAAATAATATTCCTATTAACTGGAGTTACATTTGTATCATCTCTAACTAAGTTTCCATTACGTAGACAACGATACGTGTCGGTGGAGCGATGCAAATTTTCTTGGAAAGAAACACAATTGTGTGACGTCATTAACGATTGATGTGGGCAGAGTTAACCTAGTCTTATGCAGTTTTCAGGCTGATACTCTTACTGAACAGATTGCATGTATATATGTTTGACAATGGAATAAGAAACCGTCCACAGAAAACCCCTATACATATCTGGATAGGCTTTCAATCTGGGTCAGTTAATGAGGTGATAACTCTATATGAGCAGAAGTAAGTTATCAATGATGGTTTTGCCATTTATAAGAAATTTATTCATGCTATACAGGAGTTGCTATCACAAAACACGATCAAAATGGAAAAGGATTTCCTTAAATAACGTATTAATGGAATTATATAGAGGATATTTAATGGTGTCTTCAGTAATAACACATATATTTCACTCGTGTGGCTAATATTTTGTTATTTTTCACTCGTGCTGCGCACTCGTGAAAAATATCAAAATATTAGCCACTCGAGTGAAATATATCTGTTATTACTAAAGCACCATTCAATATTCTTGTTATTACATTTTAAAGCATAAAACATGACAAATGTAATGCATTAAAGAAGGGCGGAAATCAGAAGCGTAATAATTAGCGCAATATTCTAATAACCACTTATTCTACCGTCGCTTCATTTGAATCTGAACAAAAAAATCGTTGCCATTAAATGCAGCGAATAGAGGATACCGTTATGATTGGCCAATACCAAAAAGTGATATTTTCACTGTGTGAAAGATATCATTTTTATCAAGTTGATAGAATCCGATATTTCACTGGCAAAAATGTAATAAATTAATATATTTTGAGATAGTACACGCCTGATCGCGTTTAAACGAGATAATAATGGCTTTTCAATTTTTGGATTTGACATTGAAAGGCTTTCGAAATAAATGTATATTTAGTCGTGAAAAAAAAAAGAATGAAAATAACTGAAAAATAGTTTGATCTTGTGGTTGTTGCCATTTATGTTGGACTGCTACAACTGTGAATTGCTATCATGCTCAATTTAAACATTTAACGATACCCATTTGAAGTATTGAATACTGTATTTGTTGGCTTTTGTGGCAAACGTGAGATAAAACCGTGATGAATGTTGTGTAAAGATGCTTTATTATGTAAAGAAAATGTCAGCACTACACTGTTCTAGTCTCCAACACTACCAAGTGTTTACTAACGTTAGAATAAAGGTAATGGGTCACAGGACGATAACTGAACTGAGTGGTGTGTAATGGTAGGTTATCTATGATATTATATACATACCATATACAGGTACGCGTAATAATAAGTGTTATAGGACATATGATATACATGTAGCAGTATCTATAT